TTATTGAGGGGCCACAGGCGACGCTCCGTTGCTGTGGCAGGGGATCGCAGTGGACCCGGCGCGGCCTGAACAACCTAAAGATGCAGCATCCATCACCCACACTTTCCGGTGTTCAAACCGGCTTGCTCGAGTGAGGCGAACCCGGCAGAAATTACTACAGGAAGAAGAGTTTTTAGCAACACGTAAGTGTGCTTTTATCCGCCCTGGATCATGTTCGTTGAGCTACTGTGTACTTGCACGCGCTACCCTGATCGACCACTACTGACATCTACTTCTACCGCTTTTAGTAATCTGTTGATCGCCGCTGCAAAGCCGTCGCAAAGTACTAGCCCTCGACAGATCGTACGATTAAACAGGTCGCAGTCTCCAGCTGCGCCGGTGACGCATTCCGACGTATATTTTCGATATCCTGTCCCATCATATCCGGAGGGCGCGCTGTAGCCCTAAGCCTCGACAATGAAGCTCTTCGGGTGGATCTCGGCCGCATTCCTCGCTTCGACGGTTCTTTCGTTAGAGACAACACCAGCTCCATCGATCGATACTATCCCATTCTATTCACCTCGCAATGCAGATTCCGGAAAAAGGGCCTTTGAAGTACTGCAATTATTAAGAAAGCGGAGCGATAACTGTCCTTCTGGATATGATTCCTGCACAAACCTAGGCTACTCGGATATATGCTGTGCCGATGGTAGCAGGTGCACTCGCGATGCCGCTGACAATGTCGCTTGCTGCCCGACGGGAGCGAGCTGTACGGGCACGCTCTCAGAGACTGGAAATTCTGGGGGAGGTACAACTAGCAGCTTCCGCTTTCCCCAGACAGCGACGGCTACACAGACTACAGATGGAACGAGTGTGACTCTCACGGGCTCTACAATTGCCGGAGCATACCCATTTGTCAATATCCCGACATCATTCGCCAACGCGCGCGTTTGCACATCATACTACTCTCTATGTCAGAGTGAGTATACCGGCTGTCTTTCGCAACTCGGAGGAGGGTATGCTGTGACTGTGGCTGCTGAAGGAGGAGGTGTCACTCGCGCTGGAGGAGGCGCTTCTGCAGCTATATCGACATGCTCTAGTCTGAGTATGGAGGCATGCCACGGTCTCAGCATTGGTTACTGCGGCAGTTACAGCACTGATGTCTACGAGAACCGGGGAACGATGCCCAGGCGGAGTTCCAGTCTTGAGGACCTTTTCTTTGGCATGTTCATTGGGCTTGCCGGGATGTTTCTATGAAGTTACGACTACGCTTGATTTTCATGTGGATATGTATGTACGAAGATATGGACATATGCTCGCTCAAGTGACGTGAACAATATTGGTTTCGAAGTCAGCGATGACAACTGCGACACTCGCGAGACAACTACTTCGGTTGAGAATGCCCATTATTTGGGTAGCTGAAAGAAACGACGGGATGTATCTACGAAGTGATTGATGAAGGGCGATAGTTGGGCAGCTATCAGTATAATGAGTCTCATGATTTTGTGGCGTTTTGTATATAACAAGAGCATCTAGGATAGCAATGACATCTAAATAAATGAACGATCAGATTATGATTTCTTTACTATTATGGGAACTTGTACTGTGAGCTTGTTGCTCCCACAATAGACAAGGGAGACCCAGCTGCATCAATGGCGCCTCACCACCACATCATTATTAGGGCTCACCAGATAGCAAAGAATTTAGTATGTGATTGTCGGGTCACGGACAATGCGCACTTCTAGAGCAACTAAGTACTTACGGATATTGAGTCACCCGCGCCAAATCACTGCCTAAGCATGGGGCCCCTTCGTTGGGTGACACGTAGGTGTAGTCACTAACTAGTCACTACACGGTCCTCGCCTGATTTGTGCCGACGGATGGAGGCCCATGCAGTCAGTACCTGACGGACGTACCTCCATCGAATCAGAAACAGCGTTTTGCTAGACCGACTCACCGTGGAAGAGTAAAAGATAATCTAGCGGTGGAGCCGACAACGCAGTAGGCCGGGTCTGTCCAAGTTCCGGACTTTTTCGCCCACAGACACGATTGGGTGCTGACAATGACGCTGTCAGGAACTGAGGGGAGAGAAGTTGGTGATGAGAGGGGCAGCAACGGCATCATCGGCCACTTCTCTGCCATTGGATCACAGCGGGGCAACAACATGCAGAGTTGAGAAAAGTGGACATCCCAGCCTCCGAAATTTCCTTTTTTAAATTATGAGCTAAGTTTATCTTCATCGCTGATTCACTCGACCTGGCAGTGATTGGTGGTGGTCGTCACAGGAAATGCGGTGGTTGGGAAGTCGACCGGACGGAGGCTGGGATCAAAGAAGGGCGGACGGGCTGCTCGTGGGATGGCACCCTGCTCCGACTTCTCTTCTCTAACCCTCCATACATTTTCTACTCAACTGATATGCATTCTTTCGATCTCTGCTCTGCACGCTACCTGTGACGGTCTCTCGCATTCCATCTATTTGCTTGGCCTCCTTTCGTTCGCTGTCTTTCGTTCTATATACCTCCCTTGTCATACCAAGACCTACATCGAGTCATACGTCGGAACCCCCCAAATTCGTCCCTGGCAGCGATCGCAATCCAAAGCTGCTTTTGGTCGCATCGTGGGCTGGCCTCGTGGTTGTGGAAATTCCTACATTCTCCCCTCGCCATGCATGCGTCTCGCATAATCCCGTCGACCTTATCTATACTGGCCCTACTAAGTCAGTTTCAACTCTCGATAGCTTCACCATTGGAACCCGAGGTGAGTCTCGAGGAGGCCACGTTGGAGAAGCGCTGTTCGAATCCTTGCGGTTATTATAGCCAGCTTTGCTGCAGCTCAAGCGAAACATGCAGCACCAACAGTGATGGCGAAGCTGAGTGCGTCAATTCCGGAAGCTGGGAGTATTACACCACCACGTATGTCGTGACCGAAACAGAGCGTGCGACTTTTACTTCAACCTGGAGCTCCTACATTTCGGCAACAACGAGCACTGGCAGTTGCAATGCCGAGTATGGTGAAACGGTCTGCGGCAGTGACTGTTGCGGCCCTGCATATGTCTGCTCCAACAATCAATGTATCCTGGGAAGCACGTCAATCTGGGCAACCGCGACTGCCACACCCCCCGTACGCGGAACAACTCTATCGACTGTAACTCAAACGGCCACCACTACTGAGCCTTTCACTGCCCCTGTGAGCACAAGCGGCACGCCATTGGTTGTGAAGGGCTCCGGCGGAGGACTCAGCGGCGGAGCCATCGCGGGCATTGTCATCGGAACAATTGCCGGCGTGTTCCTTCTGTTACTCCTTTGCGCCTGTATGTGCTGCCGTGGAGCACTTGATTCTGTGCTTGCTTGCCTTGGTCTCGGTGGCGGTAGGAAGCGGAAAGAAACCACTTACGTTGAAGAACGTCGTCGTCGTCACCATTCTTCTTCCGGGGCTAGACCTGAGCAACGCACCTGGTTCGGCAGTCGACCAGCACCATCGACAGCAGGTGGCGGTAAGAAGAAAGAGTCTGGCATGGGTGCTTTGGCGACAATTGGAATCGTCCTGGGTGCGATCGCGCTGTGCCTTGGGTTGAAGAGGCGCAGAGACCATCGCGACGTGGACGAGAAGACCGATTACACGTATCCGAGCACCTACTACAGTTACTACTCCTCTGACTACTATACCAATGATGGTAAGTACCCTCTTGTTCTCATACAATGATAGGATGATGCTAATAACATTGTAGGAAGCGTTGTGACAGATGATCGGCGGACGAGAGATACCAGAAGAACTAGACGATCTCGCACGCGCTCACGAAGATGATGATTTTATGATGCCAACCAACGAAAACGAATGACTTACCGAATTACAACGATTGATTAGCTATGATTTCAGTCTTCGGACTTTATTTGATCGATTTTGCATGAACAGGCGTTACCCGGGGTTTTATGATTGATGTGTGATGGTTTCTTCTTTCGTGTCCGAAAGATCTGCAATGTACGATGATGAGACATGTATTCATGTTCTAATGCCCTTGAAAGTTTCTGCTTATCCCTTTTCTTTGTCACTTTGTCTTTGTTCCCCGTCCCTGCTTCTGTCTCTTTCGAACCTATGATTGAAAGACGCGGAAGGAAACTGTGTTGTAAATAAGATGCTCAATATAAATTGACAAGGAACAGCATTGTACATATGAAGGACATCAGTTGCCTGTACCGACATCGTACATAATCTATCAGGAAGTTAGTAGTAGAGAGCATCCCTGACCAGCAACAGTGAGAGCTCACACAGCCAGAGTTGCGAGTCACCCTCCGGCACGCTCCTTTAAAGCGGCGCAGGGATAGTTACAGGTATATGAAGGATCTGAGCAAAGATCGCAGCTCCCAGAGATCTAGTGTCAGTGCACCCCTAGATACATACAAAGCTGATTCTTGAAAATCATGCACCTGCCGGAGCAACTCGTGCGTTTATCCAATAACTGCAGCTGCAAGGCGGCCATCAACGGTCAGCATGCCAACCCAAGACAGAGACGGAGGAAATTGTCATCATAGAACGACAAGTCTCCACCGAGCTGGTAATAAGGGCGAATTGAAGGGATAAGAAATTTGAATAGATTCGTGTTACCGATCCACGCGATCAAGTTGTTCCGATCGAAGCGGTTCGAGTCCGACAGGGTCCAGAGAGTGAATGAAGCTCGGCACCTTGTCGACGGCACAAACTGCCCGGGCGGAACCTGCGACTCCCCGCCTCCCGTAGTCCCAAGCCATTCCATCCATCATTTCACGCTCGCCTGTCCTTCAATCCCGCTGTCATTCCCACGCCATCTTCACAACACCCCCTCCCCTCACTCACAACTCTCAACTCTTGTATTCGAAAACCCTTATCCATGAGGCTACTCTCGAGTATACGGTCCTGACAATACCTACTCAGCATCTTAGTTCATTTTGCCCTCGTCCGGCTTTTCCCCGATCATCCAGGGCTGTCAAGTCTTCCCTCCTGAGGATTACGAGTCCCGTTGAGCTCCGATTCTTCGCTGGCCCGCCATGCTTCAAACGCAGACTCAGCACGTCTTTTCTCATCAGCACCAGTATCCGCAGGCTGATCCGACCTGGTTGCAGCAACAGCAGCATCACCAAACCCACCCGCACCAGGCTCAGCAACCGCATTCTTCGTTGGTCGCCCAACAGCATGCCCAAGTCCAGGCGGCCGCAGCCGCAGCCGCAGCCGCTCAACAACAACACTATACTCGTATAGCCATGGCTGGAAACGCCGGTGCCGGTAATTCCGCTCAAGGGGCTGGTGCAGGAGGCATTGGTGGGGACGGTGCGTTGCCCGGTGCGGTGTCCGTGATGGATGGTGGCATCAGTGATGAGAATCGGAAAGTTTTCATCTGGGTCGCAGAGCTTCTCGACCCGAGTCGCAGAGAAGCCGCCCTTATGGAACTTAGCAAGAAGAGAGAGCAAGTGCCGGAACTCGCGCTGGTTATTTGGCACTCTTTCGGTACGGAATCACCCCCTTTGATCAGCTTTGTTGGTGGCGACTAACGGGCAGTTTTCCAGGTGTCATGACCGCTCTACTTCAGGAAATCATCTCCGTATACCCTTTGTTGAACCCTTCGCAATTAACTGCGGCTGCATCAAACCGGGTCTGCAATGCGCTGGCTCTCTTGCAGTGTGTGGCTTCCCACAACGAGACTCGCACCTTGTTTCTTAATGGTACGCAGCCGTCACCCAGGACCATCCACCCCACCCTTCGGTTTTAAGTCGTATGTGATTTGACTAACAAATTCTCGTTCGGAACAGCTCACATTCCTCTGTTCCTCTATCCTTTCCTCAACACAACGTCAAAGTCGCGGCCCTTCGAGTATCTCCGCCTCACCTCGCTCGGCGTAATCGGAGCGTTGGTTAAGAATGACTCGTCCGATGTCATCAATTTCCTCCTTACCACAGAGATCATTCCCCTTTGCTTACGGATTATGGAGACCGGCTCAGAACTGAGCAAAACTGTCGCAATCTTTATCGTGCAGAAGATTCTCCTCGACGATATCGGTCTCGCATACATTTGCGCAACCTATGAGAGGTTTTACGCGGTTGGAACTGTTCTGAGTAATATGGTCACTCAACTTGTTGAGCAACAGACAGTACGACTTCTCAAGCATGTAGTGCGCTGCTTCCTTCGGTGAGTCTATCCCAGGTTTCTTCAAATTGCGTTGGTTGATTCGTTTCTACTTCAAATGCTGACTTTTGTAGCCTGAGTGATAACAGCAGGGCGCGGGAGGCGCTGCGTCAATGCCTTCCCGAACCCTTGCGCGATGCGACGTTCTCTTCCGTACTCCGCGACGATGCCGCCACTAAGCGCTGCCTGGCTCAGCTTCTCATCAACCTCTCGGATAATGTCTCCGATGGCGCACCTGGTGTTGCGATGTAAAAAGTTCAAAAGCATTTGTTTTCCTTTTGGTTTACTTGATATATTTGACAACCTTACGACATGCATGGGGCGGGCTTAGGCGAAACACGGAATACAAGGCGCAAACTGTGTGGTATGGCAATGCAATGACGCGATCTCAGGAAAGTTGCACAAAATCAACAGAGAGAAAAGAGAAGACATGGCGGGTATGGGAGCACTGGACTTGGGGGTTTCTGTCTTGTTATGGTTCGAAAGGTTCTGTTGTTTTGCTAATCATCTATTCTTTCTTCCCTTCCCTGGCTTTTGCTGCGGCTTTTTCTCTGCTTTCTTCTATTTACCTTTCCTTTTTGTTTTCTGTTTGTCCAACACTTCGTTCCCCTTCGGCCATAACGGTATGGCTGTGCGGTGGCGTGGATACGGCTGGCGCTATTTGTCTGTGTGCATTTTGCTTATCCTCTATGTTCCCCATTCCCCATCCTCCATCTGAGTGAGATAGACCCTCTTTGAGCGAGATACCAAGATCTAGTTTTATGTTTCGTTGGGTGGTGCTGATTCTGCCTGTTGCTTAAGTTTCATTTTCTCCTGACCTGGTTTCATGTGGAGGCGAACTATTATTATGATAAAACCTTCCCTTCTAGTATCTATTACTATGAGCTTGTTTCTTCATTCAAAAAATAGAATAGTAGTATCCACGAGGCCATGGTAAAATGTGAGCAGTCGGATCGCATCGACAGCGCAAGGCTTATCGGCACGGGATCGACCCAATCGGCGGATGGAAGTCACCTGACTGGGGTCTCGACGCGCCGCCCGGCGATTCTGTGAGCTCATCTCTTCTGCCCAGCCCGACACGCCCGCCCTGGCGAACGATTTCCTGTCTTCACGCCGCTGTCGATCACGTCAATACCCACTCATTCCGCCATTTGGTAGAGACATCTGTGTTCGTTCTTCTGTTGCATATACGTTGCGATAATTACCCCTTCTCAGAACTCCCGCCCCCGCCGCAGATCCGCCGCAGGGGTCGAATCTTGTCCTGCGCCGCGGCGCCTTTAATGGTCTATATCCGCCTTCATGGTATCGCGAAAGCGCACCCGCTCCGAGGTGGACGCTGCCCCAGAGCAGCCACCTGAGGAGCCGGGCTTACTCCAGCAGCTTCGGAACTGCTGGGAGTTTGCAAGCCTCATGCAATACATTGCCATATTCGGTAAAGTCATGAAGATTGACGAGGATTTCGGAATTGAGGTGAGTAGTGCAAATCCGACACCTATAGTTTTTCTTTACATTTGGGCGCGTTAGATCAATGCTAATATTCTGCTCTGATGCTTTGCTTGTAGGACCTGGAAACTGAGTGTCTAAAGCCTACCCCTTCCGAGAAACTACTAGAGATTGGACTCTGTCTATTGAAATGGGTGTCGTCGCATCGGGGCCTCACGTACGTGCTCCCTTGTTCTCGCCATAACTGTAGCTATACTAATAGGATGCTTTTGCTGATAGATTCGATAACTTCGATGAGTATACGCGACGTCAGTACAATGCGAAAGCACCACACATTCCTAACCCTTTCGGGTATGAGGAGGTTCCGAATAGGTTCTTGGACTTCGATGTTTTCTTGAAATTGCGCGTCTTGCACCAGCTGTCGATTTGGACCTTTTGGAATCCCGATCGCATCCGCGAAAAGATGCCGGAGCAGAGGGAATTGGATCAGACGGAGTGGGTGGGTTTTGCGTGACACTACCCCTGGATTCCTTTCATATTTACTGACCTTTGCTAGCGTATCGAAGAAATAGGCTACGATCGTGAAGGCCGTTACTACTATATTCTCGATGATAACAGGCTCTATCGCCGCACCGACCCCCCTATTCCGCCGCCAAAACCGGCCAAGTCGAAGTCGAGGAGAAAGAGCGCCCGCGCCATGAGAGCCTCTAAACGAAGACGTGTTACAGGTGCCGATCCTATTGAAGAGTCCGATGAGGAAGATAATGCTGTGAACGGCGACGCCTCAGAGGATCCTCTGCAAGCGATGACGTGGGAATGCATTGCCGTTACCTTAGACGATTACAAGCAGTTCCTCGAGTCCATTAGGAAGACAAGGGATCCCAATGAGAAAATACTGAGGGATAGGATCGATGAACAGGTCATGCCCATCATTGAGAAGGAAGAGGAGGCGCAGGAGAGGCAGAAACAGAAGCGCGAGAAGGAGCTTTTCAACATGCAGTTGCTCGCTGGCGCTAAACGATCCAGTCGGATCGCCGGAAAGGCTGAGAAAGAGCGACAGGAGCGTGAGGCTGCTGAAGCAGCACGTAAACGAGAGACGGAACTAGCCGCAGCCCGCAAAGAGGAAGAAAGAGTGAAGAAGCTGGAGGCGGAAAGACGCTCGCGCATCATGACCCGGGAACAGCGTACTAAAGATCGGGAGAGGAAGCGGATACTACATGAAAGTGAGCTCCAACGCATCAAAGAAGAGCAGGAGAAAGTTGCACGCGGCGAGAGCAGAGCTTCCGAGAGACATCTTCAAGCGGAAATGGAAAAGTACCGCAAGAATCTGGAGGACCTCTCACAGGAAGATCAATGGATATTCGACTGCTCGGGCTGTGGTGTTCATGGTCAGAATCTGGTAGGTCATGATCATCCCCGGTTATTATGGCAGGTGTACTGACCCTCAATAGGATGATGGCTCTCACAGTGTTGCATGCGAGTCCTGTAACGTGTGGCAGCACAGCAAGTGTCTCGGTATCCCGAAAAGCGAAGCTGAACGAGAGGATTTCCACTTCATTTGCAAGGACTGTAAAAGACGCGAAGAGGAAGCGAAGTTGCCCAAACTTCCACCGTTGAAATTCCGCGTCGGGTCGTCGACCTCGCCATCCTCGACTGCGCCAGAAGGAGATACCAAGATCAAGGTCCCAGATCCGGAACAGAGTCCTATATCGTCCATCAAAAACGCTCAGCATACCTTCCAGTTGCCTCTTGCAGGGTCTCCTCAAAAGCAACCATCTTCCATGCCTTCCGTTCCCTCACAAAACCCCCCTCAATCCGTCTCCTTCCCTCCTTTGTCCCCCGAGCGCCGGCCTCAGTCCGCCCACACCACATCATTCAGCCCTCCTCGAGCCCCTTTCTCTCCATCAAAGGGCTTGAATGGATTCACTCCGTCGTCTAAGGAACAGGTTCCGAAATTGCCATCCATTCATCAAGCAATGCATCTACCGCCTCATTCTCGCGAGTCCTTCAACGGCGGGTCGTTTCCGGCGCGGCGACCATCGTCCTCTCACTCTACGCAGAGTCCCACTCTGCCTTCGCCCATTCAAAATCGGCCGTCTATGTCCCCAACCCAGGGAAACCGAGATGTTGGTCCTCTTGCGGGGTTTCCGCCTGTAGCTCCGACAGATCACTCAGCCCCATGGACGCCATACGGTCAACACCAAACCCCTCGTCCAAACACGGGCAATCATTCTTCCTTCTCTTCCTTGCATAACGGGCGTACATCTTTCATGGCCACCCCGACTGCAAGTCGCTCCTCTCCTCCCCAGAGTTCCCACGGCATGCCTCTTTCGGGAATCAGTCCGACCAAGCAATCACCCCGACCTATGACATCTGGCAGTGTCACTGGAGCACCAGTCCTTCCTCCGATCCAGAAACTCGAGCCGAGTCCTAAATTGATGGGTCGTAGCTCGCCCGATGCACCCATTCCGCCGCCGGTCAAATGCATGACACCGGAGCAAGAGGAGCGCAGGCAAAGGGAAAACGCCATGCTGCAGGCCCAGTTGCACGGGACCAATGGCCCGCATTCAGTGATGTCGTCGCCGTCGCTCAATCGTATACCACCTTTAGGGCCTCCTGCGGTTGCACAACAGCCTGCTCCATCTCCTCAGCCCGGTTCAAAGTAAAGTCTCCCGGCACTTTCTGCTTATGTGCACTAGCAGAGCAGCTGGACAACAAATATTATACCCCTCTCGTTCGACATTGAAGCCGTACATTCACTCGTCATTATGTCCTTGGCTCGGTTATCGATCACTTAAAAGCTGAATCTTTTCATTATGGTTCGGTAGGTTGATCTTGCAGCGCAGTAAAGCTTAAGCGGCCAATTCTTAAAGGCGCTAAGGCATGCGCGCAGGTCTTATGTACCTTTTTTTCCTTTCTTACCGTCTGTCCCCTCGCAGCGGTCAATACCGGGAAATCAGTTGGTGATCCTGGGTTTTCCGTTGCTCTCTCTCCCTAAACTTCGTTCCCCCATACATTGCTTTCGAAGTGCGCACTATGTGGAGAGTGTGCCGGTCTAGCATTCCGCACTGAGGATTTTGCTTTGTTCTTATGCTACCAATTTTGCATGGTTGATATGGTTGGTCTATGCTTCTCTCATGTCTTACTACAAACTTGATATATTGGAAGGGTGGCGTTGCAGGATACTGAGGTATAGAGGGATGGGGTTGGCTATGGATGTGAAGTAGACATTGACTAGATGTAATAAAAGCGAGGCAATTACATGATGCTTAGTTGTGACAGATCAATACCCGCTGTAGATGATTACCTGCATTATATGCTGTCGCTACCTATCCTAACGTGACATGCACCTACTACTACTTTAGTCAACCACTGCTCGTCAACTGATATGAGAGGTACATACATACATACATACATACATACATACATACATACATACATACATACATACATACATACATACATACATACATACATACATACATAAGAAAAAAAGCACAAGCAATACGCCGCACCCGCACAGCAAACAAACAAGTCCCCCAAAACCAAGCAAACGCCATGCATGCATTCCCACAGCCTCATACCTCCCCTGGCGCGCCAACACATCTAAGCAAATCTAGTACATGCTACCTAACTAGCTATTCCGTTGACCCGAAGTGGATCATCACGCATTAATTTAACTAACGAACTACTAGTTAGGCCCCAATGTATCTACTGTACTCCGTAGTAGTATAGTATGTAAGCAGTAAGCACCACCTAAGCACCGGTAATGTCTCAGATTCCGTCCCGCTCTCACCCGTGCGTGCGTGCATGCATGCATACAATCTAGTAGTTACTTACGTACTAGAGCACATGTCATTTTCGGATCTATCACCTGTCAAAAAACTTATTCTATCTATGTAATCAACGTTCTCTATACCAAAACTCAATTAGTCAATTGGGATTTAATATTCCCGAGTGAGTGAAAACTTGAAACAAGGTTAATGTATATGGTAGCATCGTGGCGTAGCATTGGTTGCACGGCATGTGAGATTTGAGTAAGTAGTGTGTGGGTATGTATGTATTATTTAGGCAAATAGTAGTAAGTAGTAATTAAGTAGTTAGTAGTGATGAGTAAATTAAAAAGACGCAGGGTCACATTGGGGCTGTAGGGGGAAGGGAAAAGGGCCGCGTGGTTTTAATTTGTTTAATTTCGTTTAGGTTATTTATATCATGTAGTACTAGGCTATGCTGTGAGGCTATCTGCGAACGGGACCGTTTATACTATCATGGTAGTAGTTGGTAAGTTAGGAGGACTCGGGATGGGCTTGCTGCGGCAGATGGATGGATAAATGAGGATTGACTCGACTCTCGGGTTTTGGAGTCGGTTAATATTGGGGTGTTAGAGTCCGATGGATACTCTACTTAGTAGGGGTAAGTATATATTGTGGAGAAGGTAGTAGTGGGATGGCTGGCTGGCTGATCGGGTATGAACGGGGTGGTGGTTTGGTTGGTAAGTAGTAAGCAGTGGGAGGATGTTGATTGATTGTCCATCTTTAGGAACGGGGGAGTAGTAGTATGTGTGTGATCTTTCTATAAAGTTGGTATATGCATGAATCTATACACATCTCAAGATCTACTTATCTTCGATATCAAACATACAGCATTCAAGCATATACAGCATTCGAGTCAAGTAAGACACATACAACGATATTGTTGGGGAGGGATTTACCACACAATGGTACTTTGTCGGCTCACTTACCCTTGCTTGCCTTTAACCCTAGCTAGTTTAACTATCTAGCACGTAGTTCAAGAACTAATGACTTAGTTCTCACATGCTAACCAGGATCCCAGTCCACTACAAAAACCCAGGTAGACAAACTAGTATTATTTAGGGAGTCCTTTCCCAACATCCCCTACCCATGCAGTAGTTCACCTAAGTAGGTATCTCCTTAATCTATCAGTAGTCTCCTGAAAACGTTCGCTAGACTAGTGGGGGAGTGAGCGAAAATCACCACCGAAAAGAAACGAAAAAGTTCTCGACCACGGGCGGAATGAACCGATCAACTATACTAGACTAAGTAGTCTCCTTTTTGGATAGATCGTTCAATCAAAAATTGATTGATTGATAGCTTGGGCGAAGTGGACTGGACGGGACTGGATGGAATCACATCAACTGGACTACTTACACTCACTTGGACTACTACATAGATGGATAACTTGGTTCCACTACCCGGAGATTGGACGAACATTGCTCAGTCAGCAAGCAACCTAACTTAACTAGTTAGTTACTTTGTAGTTAGTTAGCTTGATATCTCCGTCCTCCGACCGGATCCGGGCCCGTGTCCGGATAGTAGTGGGGGGAGATCGCTCGCTCGCACGGTCTAGACGGTGGCCTTGTCCGTGTCCTGGGTTAAAATAATGGGTGAGGGTACCGTGGATTTGTGATGGTATTTTTGCGTGGTCTGAGAGCCGCATGCTTCCAGAGAAACATCCTTATCTTGGGGATTTTTTTTTTTTTTGTTGGTATGTGGCAGATCCAAAGGTATGCAGCGAACAGGCACCAAGGTATAATGAAATCAGCATTTTCTCGAGAAAAGCAAAAGGGAAAGTATGCGGCTATACTGTGTGACTCAAAACGACTTGACTTGACTTGATTAGTCGAATCTCGCCCGAGTCCGAAATTTCTCCGCGCGCAGCGCAAATCTTTATAGATGCATCTCAGAAGCAAGCAAACGGTAGGAATGAATGAACAAGAATTGCCTATGATGGTAAGGTAGGAGGAGATCGGTGAACCGATTGACCGAGGGTCATGACAATCTGCCCGTCAACCTTAGCCGTACATACACGAACACGGATAGATCAACAGGTGTGGTTGTACCTCGAATGCCTCAAAATTGGAACTGTACACACATAAAATCGCATAACTGCTCATATAGATATGAGACTAAGTGTGTGATCATCGATGGAGAACAGCTAGTCATACTCAGTATGCTACCTGCATGGAAGGATTCCGACACCTTCTGGCCCAAATACTGGAACCCGAATTTTGCCGTCCACTCAAGGCGCATTGTCGGATGTGAGCGAAACCATAATTAGGATTCCTGGGCTGCGCAGGTGCGCCCTGCTACTCCACTGGAACCGTTCCGGCTGATCCTCTGGTTCGGAGATAGCAACTATACTCGGTTCAGCCTGGAAAGAGGTGCCGGTGCCGGTGCCCTGTTGCGTCCACAACTTACACACAGATGCCCGGGAATGGTTAGACTGATTCCACGACTAACTGTTGGCAACTCTGAATAAGGGCAAATAAATGTGACGGGAGTTTGTTACAAAGCGGGAAATGTTGTAAGCGGCAGGCCGTTGGGTGAGGTACCTCGCTTGTACTTTTGTCGGTGATTGTCCGTTTAGAATAGGTGGAGAGGGTACCTCCTGAGTACTTACAGTCTGTGTTAGTATATTATTCGTACCAGCAATCTGATCACTGTAAGGAGTATCGAAAAGAGGTTAGATGGAGGGGCTAATAGGGCAATGTTAGGTTCGGGCGCCCATGTTGCAAACACATGTTGTATGCGAGATTCCAGATGTGTAGGTTGATCTCGGGCATGTTCATCTCTTTCTTCCCTCCCATACCTTATCTCCTCGATTGACTCCAGTGACTTCTTGTTTGTTGGTTCCTGTTTTGGTAATTGGAGGCGACATGTGTCATGTCTCACCGACTGCATGACACGACGATCCCGTGGTGTAGGAATTCTCCAGTTGGAAATTTGTAAGGCTGAAATGACAGTCCGCCTATCTACGGAGTACATACTGCTGCTTGACTAGTCTACCTGTCAACTTGTTAGATCGCCGATACGGTGGCCATGACAAATTTGAGACGGCTGCCTGACAAGGCTGGCTTCATGCACATTGCATGGGAGGCTCATTGGATGATTTTCGACAATGTCTCAGATCAGATAGTTCGAACCGGCTAATATGCACGGCTGCCAGGCGTTGGAGATGTTGGAGCTGTGTTTCTGATTGGTATCAGAAACTACTACTAGTACGAGTAGTACTAACTTAGGCAGTTGCTTGTGTATGTTACTGGCATGGATCCTATTGGATTCCCGGATCTGTCTCGCGCCTTGATACTGAGCCGTAGCTATGCCTATCGGATCTCCCGGCGGGAGGAAGTGGGTTGAGAACTCTGTGGGAGAGTATTTCTCGTGTTGAACCTAGGTGGAATGCTGATACTACAAAGTAGGTTAGGAAGAGTTTTCAATTCCCCTTCTCCTGATAAACTCAATGACACATATTCATCCTAAGCACAGAGGGAGGCCATAGCTTACGTCGTAATATCCCCCTGAATGTGGATAGAAATGTTCTCTCTGTATGGAGCAAGTACCTAGTACTTGCTCCACAAGCCTAGGGTGACTTAGTTCTTACGTACCAGCTACTTTGGAATTACCAAACTCGGTTGGCTGGCGGGAGAAGCCTGAGGTGGCGTGACCAGCATTCACCTACCAAAAAGAACAGGCCAATGATGGATCGTCATGGTGTGATTAAATGACAGAAAATTGCTCGTGCTGCCCATCGAGCAACTACTCGATGAGAATTTAGTCGATGATTTTCTTCCCGTCAACCAATGGCGGGCATGTTGGAGGGCAGATCGGTCTGCTTCCCAGGGGCACAGCGGCGGGTGGTTCCCCGCTGGGGGCAGCGCGGAGGCTAAGCTACCGTAATTAGCGGGGGTGCTTATGGGTCCGTGGACGACGTCAGGAAAGTTAGTGACTTGAGTTGCTTTTTACTTACTTGCTTCGTACCACTGAAAGCGGCCCCGATACCACGCTAGTCCGGATGAGCTCGGTCTAGATTGGGCGCCCAGCAATGACCCTCTTCTCCAAATCCTTCCCCCCCCCCAAAATCTATGCAATGGGCAGGCAGTGTTGTT